TTTGAAATCAGTTCTTTGACATACAGGAAGCCAATGTAAAGACCTCAGAACTGGAGTGAAGTGATCTACTTTTTTGGTCTTAGTGAGGAATCGAGCAGCAGCGTTCTGAATCAGCTGCAGCTGTCTGATGGATTTCTTAGGGAGCCCTGTAAGGACGCCGTTACAGTAGTCGAGTCGACTGAAGATAAATGCATGGATAAGTTTTTCCAGGTCCTGCTGAGACATAAGTCCTTTAATCCGTGATATATTCTTCAGGTGATAGTAGGCTGACTTTGTAATTGTCTTAATGTGGCTCCTCAAATTCAGGTCTGAGTCCATGACTACACCAAGATTTCTGGCTTGATTTGTGGATCTTAACATTACAGATTTATGTCGAGCGCTGACTTTCAATTGTTCCTCCCTGGCTCCAAAAAATCTTTGTTCAATTGAAGAAAATTCGGGCACATCCAGCCGTTGACCTGCTCAATACAGTTACTCAGCACCCGTATGGGATCATAGTCCCCTGGTGATATCGTTATGTAAATCTGTCTGTCATCATTATGGTAACATATTTATTTGTTTTTCATAATCTGAGCCAGTGGAAGCATGTAAATGTTAAACAAAAGACGCCCCAGAATGGAGCCTTGGGGAACTCCACGTCATTTTTGTCAGCTCAGATGTATGATTACCTATAGACACAAAGTAGTCCCTGTCCTTTAAGTAGGATTCAAACCAGTTTAGTACTGTGCCAGAAAGTCCAATCCAGTTTTCAAGTCTGTCTAGTAATATGTTGTGGTCGACTGTGTCAACTGCAGCACTGAGATCCAATAATACTAAGACTGAAATTCTCCCACTGTCAGTGTTTAAATGGATGGATAGTCACTGAAGACCTTAACAAGAGCCGTCTCAGTGCTGTGTTGTGGTAGAAAACCTGACTGGAAGACTTCAAAACAGTTATTTAGTGCCAAGAAAGCACTAAGCTGTTGAAAAACAGCCTTTTCAATGATTTTACTTAAAAATGGGAGATTTGATATCGGCCTATAATTGCTCATTAGTGACCTGTCTAGATTGCTCTTTTTTAAGAGTGGCTTAAGGGGTGCTGTTTTCAGGGCCTGTGGGAAAAAACCTGACAGGAGAGACATGTTGACAATTTGTAGTAGATCTAAGGCCATCAGGTGAGAAGTAAGGTCATTTTACCATTATTTCTAATGGAACCAGACTTCTTTTGCAACCCAAGGAGTTGCCTCCTGCTGGCTGTTTGATAGAATGCAGGTTTAATGGACTTCCGCATTCGCCTCAATTTTCAGACCCGGAGGTTCCTTATGATTCAGAGTAGGTTGCAAAGTGTCTTACAGTAATATTAAAATAAAAAAGACATTGCACTCAGGTTTTTGGCTGACATGTTTACTTTTGCCTTCCTCTTCTCTTTTCAGAGTGAAACCTCGTCCTGTACTCATATCATGTGCCCTATTACTTGATCTTTTAATTATTTATTTTTCTCATTTCATCATATCACATCAATATTACAATAAAATAGACCAAATCTAAGGTGTATTTTATTGATAATATTACCAATGACAGGAGTAAAATACTTTGAATATCTTCATAGTGTGTTTGTGTTGTGGGTGTACTAGAGGCTGTCTTTTACAAACATATTTTGCTCTGTTTTGAACTAAAACATGATTAAAAACACACAACGTTGAAGCCTTACGCACCAACAAATCGCACATGTTTACTGCCCGGTAGCATCTTATCATGTTTTTGAAAAAAGATGAAACCGGAGAGAAATATCACTTTAACACCCCTTGTTGATGGATTTGTCTACACACAAGCTGATGTCTGTGTAATCAGAGATGCTCTAAAGCTCTAATTCAATCTGCCCTGTCGCCCTCAGAAGATGAAGGACCACATACAGTCTGTGATTAAATGACCACCCACACCGACAGGCAGACAGACACAAAGTCAGGCAGACAGGTAGGAAACAAGCAGGGTGAGTGGGCAGGTGGGTAGAGAGGAGAATAGACAGGGTTGCAAGACTGACTAGAAAAAAAATAACCTTTCTGTGGTAACACAGACAAAATGAGTTTCACCTCCATTTCTAGCTTTCTGTCCCTCTGTCATGACTGGATTTAGTTACTACCTCGTTTAGTCATGTGGAACAAGCTGAATTACCAAGAAGTTCATTAAAATAGACATGTTTTATTTACAGTTAACAGCTACTGCAACACCCTAAATTACATTTATTTGTTTAGCTAAGGCTAGCCATGGCTATCTCACCAGCTAAGTTTTTCTCATTTCATAGAGCTCTCTTGCTTTAGCAGTCTCGATTGCTGTTTCTCTGTGAATTTCTACAGCATCATTTCTTATATTAAGGTAATGTTAGAAAGTCATATTCAGATCTTAACTAAATGGAGATAAGTTAGAGAGTTCCTGTGTTTTGCCTTTGTGGGGCAGGTGGTTTGACCTGAGTGATGTTCCAAGTTCTGACTACACTTGTTCAGACAGAAAGCGAAGCAAATTTTTGCGGGCAAGACAACAGCCAAAGACCCAGCTGTACGTTAGCTGTAAGATAACTAGCAAGGGACACATGGACCGTGTCTGTGGTAGTGTGCCTGTTTGTATGTGTTCATCTGACTGACCGCTGTCTCTCTCCTTTGGGTTACCCTTCTGTATGTTAATGAAGCACATTCATAAAACCCTTTTTCTTGCACAATTTGACACATTTTCAATTCCCATTGCCGCAAATTTGCATCTAATCATGTCTCTCTGTAATGAAGACTCTCCATTGACTTTGAAATTGTGTCCCTTCTAATATTGTGTTCTGTCTGAACACACCGTTAGAGGCCCATCTACTGTACTTAAAGTAAGTTTACTTACCTGCTGACTTTCCTGCTACCACCCACCAACATATGGTAGAAAATATTAGTGTGGAAATCTTTGCGCACGAATTGTTAAATTATTTTGAGTAAAAGGAGCAAATTATATTACTGTTAAAAAGATTTTTAAGTGATGTAATGTCATGTAATTGCTTTTAAAAAATGCTATTACATAATGCAAAAATTGTCTAAATACTATAATATCCCATACGCTACACTTAATAGACTGAAAATACATCTACAGCATGTTAGCCATTGTTGCCTCTGATTCCAAAAAGACAAAGAAAAGCATCAAATCAAACACGTTCTGTCGATAGACTAATTGTTTCATCTCTACATCCACCCATCCATGTGTCTTTCTACTTCCCTGAGTGCAGTAAATTGCTGTCAAAGCCATAAGTTTGTCTTTTGTTGAATGTTCAAAATTTGAATAAATTCTATTGAATTACAGTCCTGCAAGTTTATCAAAATGACTTTAAAAGTATTTCAAGATTGTCAGTGGCAAGTACTTGGACATGAATTACTGCACAATAAATGTCACAATGTCATAATGAAAGTTGAAACTACATCTGAAGTTCATGTCAGTTCAAAGGTACAGTAGGCTGTTTAAACTTGAATATTCACTGAGCCATATTATCATATTTTCAGTTTGTTTGTCTTGAAATATAATGTATTGCACATTGTTGTCAGTCAAGGGGTGGCTAGGTCTGATCCCAGGGGAGTTGAATGATACGATGATACTAATGATACATTTCTGTCTATATTGTTTTTTATAGTGTGTATGTATGTGTTCTCTATCCTGTAGCCTATGTGTGATTTTATTATTGTATTATCATTATTGTATAAGCAAGCACATCGTGAGCAATGCACAATCCTGAGTCAAATTCCTCGTATGCGCACACATACTTGGCAAATAAAGCTGATTCTGATACACACCCACACACACTTGCACATGGACACTCACAAACAACTTTGTGGCACTATCATCGTGGGCACCCGTAATAGACACCCTAGCCTTAACTAACCTGAACCCCTCGAAAAGCACTTTAAACTTGTGGGGTCCAGCAATTTGGTCCCCACAAAGCTGTCTGAACCCACAAATATAGTGGAATCCCAGTTTTTGGACCCCACGAATGTAGTAAAACAAGCCCACACACACACACACACACACACACACACACACACACACATACAGCCCTTGGTGTCTACTGCCATCTACTGTTTGACTGTTCAGATTCAAGTTAATGAAGATGATGGTATAGAATGCAGTTTGGGACGTATCATGTTGTTTTACTCTGCCAAATCAGAAGTATACTTGTTGAGATGAAATGTATGGTTGTCATTTTTTGATTATATTTGATGAGTTGAGCATCGCTGAAATCAGCAGCAGTTTTGAAGTTAGTATATGTATATATCCCCTCAGAGCTGAACACATGTAATGGAATTTCAGTTAATTATGTTTAACATCACTGCTTTAAACTGGTTCTGCATGGTCCCAACACTGCCATTACAGGCCTTATTTTGTTAATATATTCCGTTTAAGCATTTAACTGATTTAAGTGGTCCTTTTAATCTTGAAAAAATCACTACAAATAGTAACATGTAATTGCATTAATACAAATATGCAGTTATTCAACAAAATAACTGTTTTTCTGACACACAAGTGTTACATCAGTGTAAATACAGTACTGCAAGTGTAAAGCACTATGGAGTTTCAAGAACCTTCAGAAACATTTCCACTTTCAACAAACCTAATTTAAACAAATAATTATTTTTGTCTTTATCTTTTTACCACTGTCCACTACAATTGGTGTTGGCATTATACTTGCATGAGTTTGGAGTTTGGCTGACTTAAAATGGAGATATCTCAAATGTAGAAAACATGGTTGTAAGTGGTAATTATCTGCTTACTGTTCATCTGCCTCAAAGGGACACTGCATCTAAACATCCCATATGATCACCTGCTCTGTATGAAGCACCATGACATCTAATGCCACACACAAGACCCATGATGACAAACTCATTGTGCCCTTGTGTAAAACTACTATTAATACATTTCAAATCATATGGAGAATATTTGGCCTGGCATAACAAAGAAACAAGAGAAACAATAAAATCCCAATGCACAGTGGACAGGCAATGGTTTGCATTACTTTATTAAACAGACCAGACTTAAGTTGCATCCCATGATAATTATGAACATGTGCCTTCACGCATGGATGTGCCACAGCAGGAATTGACAGCACTGTTATTACATACAAATTATCAGAAACTGTTATGTGCGAATAAACCCGCACTTTCACAAGTGGTTTACTATTAGTCTACTATTTAGTACAGGGACCTAAAGAAAAATATAAATTTACACAGAAAAAAAATAATGGTACCAAAAATTACAATACTTTAGAGCTCTCTGGGGAGCTCATGTCTCTTACAGGGTAGCTGAGCTCCACATAGCTCTCCTGTGTTTCACACCCTGATTGTGGGATTATATTTGTTAAAGCATTAACATTTAAGCTGTATTTTATTAAATTATATTACTTAACACACTGTTGGGTAGTTTCATCTATAACAATGCATCATAATACACAAGATGATCATCTGTTTTTTTTATGTAAAATCTGACAAATCTCACATCTCACAGTTGTGTTTTATGTGTATTTATTAATAGATTTTCCTAAAGTTTTATAATTTTAATGTGTGTTTTATAGGGCATTATAGAGCATTATAAGGGTATTTATTATTAAATTATGTTTTCCTCACGCTTCAAAGAATCCTTCCTGAAAATGCAGAGAGAACTGAAGTTTGTTTAAAAAGCATTAACTAAAAATCTTCCTCTATAAAAAGCATGTAGGCCTATTATCAAACATATGGATTATATGGATGAGTTCGTACCGTAACAGTTTTGAATCAGGGCTTTTGTTACCATAAAAGAAGTTTGAGTGTCAGTTGTTTCGAGGCAGTCAGATTTAAACATGAGGAAGCTGTCCGTCCTTCTATCCCCGAAGGCGAACGGAGGGAGGAATGTTTTCCTGTTGCACAAAACCTTTGATCTCACACCCCCTAATCACTTCCTGAAGATTATACAGTACGTGCACCTCCGCACTGCCTTCTGCCCTGTGTGTGTGTGTGTGTGTGTGTGTGTGTGTGTGCGCTCGCGTGTGTGTAGCGTGTGTGCTTGCCTGAGGGCAGCCAGGGCAGATGTAGTCCTCGGTGTCCAGCCTGATGACAGACTGAGATAGGGAAGAAACAGAGACAGAAACATGATGTCATCAAACAGTGACAACTGAGAGGAGCTATAAATAAGTTTGGCAGTCATGCTGAAGTGCATAAAGTCAAGAGAGTCAGCACATTTTTACACTGCAAAAATAAACAGATGGAAGTGCTGGTAAAGTCATTCGGCTAGTTGTCAGTAGGCCTTTGGCAAGTCTCCGTATCATTATGGTTTTTGGGGGCAGTAAAGGCGTCTCAGGAATAGCAGCTACTTTGTGATTGAATAAAGAGGATATTACATCACTTACAAAACTGTAATGGGTCCAAGTGTGAGCCTGCAACAAGAGACATGAAAGTGTGGGTGCTTGTAGAGATTTATTATAGGAAAAACACTGAATAATGAGTCATTCATGTGTATGTGATACAGTGAAAGAAATGCAAGAAAAAACTCAATATCTTTCCAGTTTTGTACTTTTATCTGCCAAATGAAGGATGTTCTCTCTCCTCATCGCACAACCTTATTACTAAAGAAACTTGTGGTTGGTGTCACTGCACAATAGACTGTATTTACTTTATTCATACAATTATCTTGTGGAGTTTTAACAGCTACCTTGGTATTGTGGTGGTAGCAGTTGGAGTTACTGCTGTTGTGGCTGCTCTGATCAGTTTGGGAAGAGCCCACAAGTTAAACGACAGAAACACATGGAAGTGTTTTCTGATCTGCCTCCCCTGTCAGCAGGATGACATCATTCGTCTGCGCCCTCCAGAACTGTTACGAATCACTGTTGAAAAAGGACAACTCTATGGTTAAGATCTGGTTAGGTTTGGGCACAAAAACACCTTGGTTAGATTTAGGGAAAGATTATGGTTTGGGTTAAAATGACTACTTCGCTAAGGTTAGGGGACCTTTGCCATAACGGTAAACACTTGGTAATGTTATGGAATGATCGTGGTCATGCTTTAAAAAAAAAAAATGAAATGTTGACAGTCAGTTGGAAACTGGAAACAAACAGCGGTCTCCCATTAAAGTGCAATCTTTTGTTGACCCATCCGACCACTATTAACTCCTTGTAACATGGACTTTGTTACTGTGCAACAACAAATCACCTGATTTCTTCCTTTGCGCTATGTTGTCATTCTCAACACAACTACTTTCATCACATTATATACATTCTATAATACTTTAGCCTGTAAAAATTTTTTTCAACTTTTTCAATATTAAACCAAGACCGCCATCTGTTTCTAACCCTAACCAAGTCCATCAGATAGATGCATATAAGCCACTGTGTTGCCTGATGTAGTGCAAAATAAACAATCACAGCTGTCAGACCATGATCAATCTAATCTAAATGAGCTGCTTAGGTTTAGTGCAGTTTTGTTTGGATTTGTTTGAGATGTGTGGATAAACTTTGGATTTTACCTTTTAAACAACATGGTGGTATCTATGAAGTCCCTTAAGTGTGTGTTTAAATCTTAACAGTGGTGTTTAATGTTATGTTCTTTTAATTGTATGCACAAAATATTCATTCACTAATTAAACTACATGTTACATGCAAGGAGTTGTTAGTTTGTATTATTTTCACAAGACATTTCCGTTGAATGCATTTGTGTTTATCTTGTTCATTCTACCAAGGAAATGTGACTTCTGGACTTCATGCCATTGCAGACTAACATAAACAATGCCAGACACCTGCTGATGTTGTCTGATAAAGTTATATCAGATTATTATTTTTTTTTTAAACTGCATAGTGGTCTGAGTATAGCTTACTGTAACAGAAGAGGAGTTTGATTGAAAAGATATGCTGCTCTGAATTCCCAGTTAGCAGGACATTGTGGTAGCAACTGATGAAACTACACCCTCTGTGTCTCCTATTGATCAAATAACACCTCTCTGTGTGGTAACAGTGAAGACATGAGGAGTGTCTGTAGTGGGAAAAACAGCTAAAATGTTACAAACACACTCACTGTCCACTTCTCCAGAGGAATCTCTGTCAGTGTGGCCAGTAAGCCGAGTGTGCCTCCCAGTGGTTAACACTGGCACTACAACACAGTACAACACAATAGAAGGATCAAGGATATCTTTATTATCTTCAAAGGGCAATTTGTTGTGCAGCCAGCAGTATCAACACAATGACAATTGAATCAACTGATAGACATTTCAAGGCACTAAATAATATAAATTAAACAAATGTTCAGTTGTAGGGGAGAGCGGGATGAATTGAGCCTGTGGGGAAGTTGAGCTACCCCTTGTTTCTCGGCAGCCATAGACAAAATTGGTCATGTGACCACACATTTTTTAATATTCATCCATTTTACTCAACCTGTGATGGGGAAAAGTCCATGGAATAAGTGATAAGTTCATTTAAGATCAACAATTACAGACAGGTTTGAGAAAATCTTACGCATGTGTTAGTGCTTTAGAAAGTTACAATATGAGGCTATACTGTTAGCATGACGTTACCCCTGAACTGCTGGATGATGCAATTTTGTTAAAATGGCAGGGATGGGATGAGCCAAAAGACATGGAGGAAGTTAAGACAGATATTTTGCTGTAATTTTACATTGCATTTTTATGCATCAACGAAATGATGTGACATTATGCATTTTAGACCAGAAACCATCATGTCATGCTTCTATAAATGGAACACTGACAGGCTTCAACTCCTATTCTGTATTTGGACAGAGTAGTGGGAGAGGTACACAAATGGGAAGTCCATTCATCAGGTGGCACGGGACGTGATGATAAACAGGATGACTTTAAAGTGATACATTGCAACTGTGTTTCTAAGCCTAAAGTCTAAATTCCAGGGTAAAACAATCCTGTCTAAAGTCAGTGCTGAAGTTGAGGTTGAAACTTTTAAGATGACATGAGATAAGATCAACTTTATTGTCCCCTAAGGGAAATTTGTCATGGGCATCAGTGCCCATAACGCTGCAGTAACAACAGTAACACATATGGACTTTACACTCATACAGTCGGCATTCATTTACATTACATTGCTCAAGTATCTGAGTCACTACACCAGTCAGTAATTGATTACAAGGTAAATAGAGTGATATGAAACCTCTGAATAATTCTATTCAATTGTAATTGAGCTCATAAAGCAGTATAACAAACAATAAAATTACAACCGCTGGAATAAAAAAAAAAGTGTAAGCGACCAGTTTATATAGGAGCACTATGGAAGTATAGGGTTGAAGGACAGCTTATAGCGGTTACTTTTACATCTGCAAGCTCTATAGAGTTACACTGAAGGTAATATGTCATATTCAGAGTGCAGAATATTCCTTCAGAATTTTATGGGCCTGGGAAACTCAAAGATGGTCTGAAAGGAAGTATAGTCTTTCTTTCCCAGAACCTTCATTGCAGCTTTTTATTAGTCTTTCAATATTTATATTGCAGTGGATGGTGAGGGTGCCAAACCAGGATGCCTTTCCATATCTAATCAGACTTTCCAGCACCGCGTTGTAAAATAAAGTCAAGATCTTAGTACTCACCCCAAACAGTCTCAATCTGCGGAGAAAATGCAGTCTTTGGGCCAGTTTGGCACACAAATAGTCGACATATACAGTACATTTCCTTTTAATCGGTTATCCAAGTACTTGTATGAAGTTACTTGCTCGATTTCTCTGTCCCGAATGACTACATTGTCGTGGGCTCTCACTTCCCTGGGATCAAATATCATCGCTTTAGTTTTCAAATTATTAAGGATGAGATAATTCCTCACACACCAAGCTTTAAATGAGACGGTCTCCCTGTAATAAGTTGAAGGGCAGTCACCAACGCGCAAAAACTTAAAACAATTGTTTCGTCAGAGAATTTTATGACATGTTTGTTGGACTGACTACTTCTACACTCATTGGTATATAGAGTGAACAAGATTGGAGAGCTGACAGCTCCTTGAGGTACCTGAACAATGACCCAACAAAGACAAGACAGAAACACCAGGTATATTCACACACAGGGACTAACGAGCAGGGCGGGAGCAACACAGGTGAAAGACATGAGGCTAACCAGGCACAGGCAGGGAGAGAGAGCCGAGGAAAACAGAGACAGACATGCAGAGGGATCACTGGGGTAACAGACATGACAAGGGTTACCGAACACTAGAAGACCGACAAGACAGACCCCCAAAACCCAACAGACCAAAATAACGCTAACTAAACATAAAAGTGCAAAACACGGCATGGCAGACAGGCAGAGTGTTACGTATTTGCTTTAGACAGTGTAGCATTTCCCTTCACTTGTTGACATAAGGACACAAAGCCCCTAAAAGGCTCATTTGAACATCTACATTTCCATGACAAGTGGGTAACCACATCTGCTGAGGAAAATGGTGTAACATGATCGAAAACCTCCGTGGTGATCAAATTCTTTAGAAGATAATTCAACATTGTAACTCAGTCTCTCCCAAGTTGCACTTCAATTTAACGGGTGTTCTGTCAAAGGCTAAACACCTGCTGTAACATATTAAATTCAGTGTAGAATTCATTTGGCTATATATTGAGAGTTTAGCCATATCATGGACATCATACTAACACACACAAAGAGTTGACTAGACATTTTATTCATGTTGTTGGTCACTGGTGCTTTTCATATATATACCTATTTTTTCATTTATATATTGTGTATGTTATGGAAATAAGCCAGCATCAACGTGTGCACACATGCAATGCCAACACCAAATCTGAAGGGTACTTTCTATCTGGGGATATTTATCCTTCCTAGACCTCTAGAGCCTCAATAAGTTTCCAAAGAAGTTTAATGTGTGAAGAGTCTATTGGATATTGGTTCAAATCAAGACACTATCCTTTACCTGAGTTGACCTAAAGTCATGTTGTGCGTCATTTAAGCCACATGCAACACTCTACATGGAGCCGTCAGTCTATGTATTGAGACTAAATAAAAGTAATCTCAACCTTGGGTTAACAAATGTAACAGTGTAAATGTATAACAGTGTATCATCATTATCAAAGCAGCTAAGTCAGTCAGTTGAGCAAGCAGGCAGAGAGAAGATCCTGTCTGACCTAAAGTTTTTTTGGAGAGTCACTGGTGTCACATGGCTTCCACTCAGCAATTGCTCAGCATGACCTAGCGAAACCTGTGTCATAGTACCCATAAATTCCTTCACAGTGTACATAATAATCCTGTCTATTCTTTACCTTTATTTTTCTAGCTTTATTGTCCTTGTTCTTCGCTGTTGTGTCTCTTATTCCTGTGGGCTACACTGAGCAATGAAAAAAGTCTAATTCAGTATATAAATACAGTCCATACTAAACTGAGGGAGACAGAAGCCTGTTATTATAATTATAAAATTAATCCATTTTGTCAGAAGTATTAAATAAAATGGACAAAAACAAAACACACAACCTAAATACAACTAAAGAGAGGTAGACTCTCATAGCTCTAAATAGTATTGACGTGTTAACAGTGTTCTTCCCTTGTGATTTTTGTAATTAAAAATTTAATAAATAAAAAATTCCAAATAAGTTAAGTTATAAGTTGACAGAAGGGCACATCTTTGTCTGATGACTTGCTTTAAATGTTTTCTCCAACAGTAATGCAGCTTTTTAAAGTAAGGAGACAAACTAAAACATTCAATATTACATGCGTAGCAGATGACGTTACAACTTCCACCCTTCAAAACTGCCTAGTGGGCTACCTGTGCTCGCAAAGCATCCCCAGCCCGCCCCGTGTCCCTGGCTGATGAAATGTGAGAAGTGCCGATGCAGCAGCCTATTGAATGAAAAGCTCTAACGCTACTGTGAGCTGCCAGCACTCGGCGGGGACTCTATGCAGTGCTCACTAGCTCCAGCTGTCAGCCCGAGGAACACCGACCTGTGCCAAAAAGCAACATGACTAAAGTGACCAGCGGTTCCTCCGGTTGTCGGGCCGTGGTAATGGCGGGGAAGTACCTGTCGAGCCCGTGTCTGCCGGCGCTGACCCGGTGTTCCGGCGAGCGGCCGCGGAGGATGTTCGGTCCGCAGCGCCGCATGATGAACTCGGATGCCGCCTGCTCGGTAGGAAAACCCGCGGCTTGGGCCCGGCAGGAGCACCCGGGCTATTTCTCTGCCGCAGACCGCCATGTCCTGGCCAACCGGAATCTGATTTACCGGGACGTCAAGGCTTTTCTCCGTGAAGTCGGTGGAGACCCGCGGGAGGCTCGGTACTGGCTGACCCAGTTCCAGAGAGCGAATTCGTCTCAGTCTCCTGCCTTTGCCGTACTGGAGGTAACGTTAGGCCTATGGCCTGGTAACTTTTAATCCTTTAACTTAACAATAGATGTTGAAACTCTTCATTGAGGTGAATGTTAATGTACGTTGTCGTTTAGTCATATGACATGGAGGCCCAGAAAAGTTGGTGTTAGGGTGCTAACGTTACTGTGTACTTAACGTTGTATTGTTTCAATACTGAGGTTTCTACAGGTGGTGAAAATAGACCAATTCAGTGATGAACCGGTCAAAACTCATGATTAAATTTTGTTTTAATTTATTCTCATCATTCTCATACATTCATTTTGTAAAGAGAAAAATTTTAAAGAGCTCCTTTAAAAATAAAAAATAAAAATGGAAGACAAAATGAAACACCAGAGTTCTGATTACATTTTGCCAGTGCCTTCATCATTTCAAGTTACCAAATATCTTTTAAACGCAAGAAAGCAAAACTCCAAAAACTGTAACAGATGCTTTGACAGTGATGAAAAATGGACTGATGTAACGTTAGTGGCCACACAGACCTTGTTTTGTGGTTCAGAAACCTCTTTTAGAGAACTACTTAGTTTAAGACGGTGCTAAACTAATGCTTCCAGTCTTTGTCTGTCCATCTGTGTCTTGTCCCTCCCAGGTGGACAGCTCCGTGTTTGACCGTAAAGAAATGGTTCAGAGCTTGGCCTTCGGACTCTCCTTCCTGCAACGGATGGATATGAAGCCTGTGGTGGTGATGGGCCGGACTGAGTACGAGGAGACAGGGCCCAAAGAGCCGGTGGCCGGGTCTCGTTTCACCCATGGGCTGGTGGAGCGGTGCCAGCAGCTGACCGAGGCGCTGCAGCAGCAGTCAGCCACCGTCCTTCCACTGTTCTCCGCTGAGTCCTTCCTCCTTCTACATGAAGCCCCACATGGATGCAGGTGAGAGTTGAGATATACGGTGGCCCCAGGTTTCTTAGTACATTTGGAGGTTTAGCTAGTAATTTAATATTCTAAATAATTTCCTTAATATTAGCTGCACGGGAAAAAAGAAAGTTTAAAGCTGTAAATGTGCAGCTATACAAGCATTGTAGAGTTGCGATAGAGTTGAGATAATTGAACATTAATATGATTAATGAACAATTATTTCTTTTTTCCCCCATTAATATTTAAAATCAGTGAATCAGCGCCCCTTTTTAAAGTCAAATTTTCTAAGAAAGTCTTTCATCCTTTCATGCTTTCCTCTCTGATTTTCTCTCCTAACGTCCCTTTGCATCTGCCTGCAGTGCTCCACCCTCCGTTGTTGTGGACACTGGCCTCCTCCAGTGGAGTCTGAACTGTGGGACAATCCCATTGGTCTGTCCAGTCGGGAGGGATGGGCGAGGATGCTCGGTGATGTTGGACCCAGTGGAGGTGACGGTGGCTATTTCCCGAGCCCTGCAACCCCACAAAGTCATGTTCCTGAACAACTCAGGAGGCCTCTGCACCCAAGAATGCAAGGCATGACAGTTTGCTCCTGCTCGGTTTTCAAAGATGCAGTAGTATTAGTATTAGTAGGCTACCACTGCAAAATAAATGTACATGTACTGTCTATAAAAGCACTTGTCCAACTTCTCCTGAACGCTTACGTGTTACAGGTGATGGACACAGTGTCGTTGCCCAGCGACCTGCCCAGTCTGTCCACGGCGACGTGGCTGAGCGCTGCAGAGCGGCGCAGAGTGAACAGCATAGCCAGACTGCTCAATCAACTGCCGATTGAGTCCTCTGCTGTGATCACCTCCGCGGACACACTGCTGACCGAGCTGTTCAGCCACAGAGGTGAGACTGCTGGCTGCCTCGCTGACATTCAAACACATGCGCACTCACATGCAAGCAGAGCTGTCTATTTTGAGGTGTAATCCAAGAGGGCACTGGACCATATTATGTCCATATGTGTGTGGGGAAGTAGTTTTGACCACCCAGCAATGATTAGTTTGTACTTAAATATAATTTCTATAACTGCTTGTTTTTTTTGTTTTTTCTGTCTGTAACTCTGATTCTAAATGGCTCAGGGTCTGGGACACTCTTTAAAAATGGAGACCCCATACACCGGTAAGTACACTATACACACAAACATGTTTAATACGACCCTTAAACCAAATAATTAAAGCCGTAATCCAGAAACTTCTCAACAGAGTTGAGTTGCTTTCTTGTTCACAGGTTTAAAAGTAAAAGAACATATTGCTCATTTGACTCGTCTGTTGCATTAAGAGTATGTTATTGCTTTGCGTGTGCAGGTTCAGCTCTCTGGATGAGATCGATGTGGAGCGCCTGCTGGCTCTCATCAACAAGTCATTTGATAAAACTCTGAGGCAAGACTACATCGACTCTCTGAAAGGACGACTGCACTCCATCTACCTCTCTGAAGGGTGAACAACTTAAAAATATGTCGATGAGACCGCATATAAGTCCAGATCAGCCGTAGTATTATAAGCTGCATCCTGTCTTCCTTTCTAAACAAAGGCCCGATATGAATCTAAACCCAGCGGGCCTCTCTCCTGAAGATTTTGTATCTCTCTGTCCCTCCAGCTACAGTGCGGCAGCCATCATCACCATGGAGCCGGTGAACAGCGGCACTCCCTACCTCGACAAGTTTGTAGTGAGCAGCAGTAAGCAGGGTCAGGGCACCAGCCACGTCCTGTGGGAAAGTATCAGACAGGACCTGGGCAAACTGTTCTGGAGATCCAGAGCCACCAACAAGATCAACCCCTGGTAAGACACACACATTTTAAGACATTACACTAAGTATACCCAGCTAAAACAATGTTCACTGCTAAGTAAGTGCTAGCAAGGGTTGTTGGGATGTAGTCTGAAAAGATGGGTTTTTAGCGCACAAGTAAACAAATCGAGGTACAGGTGAACTAAGAAAGCAATTCAGACTATACTTGTATGCTAACTGAGCAAACCAGACATTTTCCCACATACTTACATTGTGAAAGTAACTGCTGTAAAACAATGTTTGATCCATTCGGTCTTTAACACTTGGGAAGGCTAGAAGCAGCTCTAAAAAATTATTTTACCCCCATTCAATGTCTTCTAGTATCTTCAACCAAGTCCAGTTGCCCTTGACTTTAACCTTCTTTGGATAACTATGACCTGGATGACTGAAGATCTTCACAAACATCATTCAAGTTAGGGTTAGGGCTTAAGTTTCAATTCAACAGGCAATTCACAGTACGCCCCTGATTAAAGCACACGTGAAGGCCCAACACAGCTTAGTAACCCATTCAGAAGAGAATCTACTCTGCCAACTCAAGGTGAAGTCTGGGAACATTGACCCTCCAAAAGATCAGATGCACACTACTGCTAAAGCCTAGTTCACACTACACAATTTTTAGCCAGAGTTTCCGCTCTGTAAGCTCGGAGACCGTCAGGCTGTGATCGGGAGTAAATCAGCGGTCGCCAGTCGTTAAGTGAACTACACAACGACTCATCAAAACAGCTCCCCGGCACATTTCTGACACATCGCCGACGTCTGCCAAACATGTGGAAGAGTCGGCCGACTCGACATCCACATCCAGCCAATGAGAGCAGGCACCTACTTTTTCACTGCAAAACACTTTTTACTCACCTTCAGCTCTCTCTGTAGCTCAGATAATCCCTGCCACCTGCATGTGCTAATCCATTCTTTCACCCAGAAACAACAGCTGTTTCATGTGTAGGGTCGCGTCATTTCCCGTTTCACATTTCACGTGTGTTTTCTTGACAAAACGTGGTTTGGAGACCAGCGTCGGGTGACCGAGCCGCCGTCAGCTCGTGTGACCCTCTGCCATCGATCAGTCATGTAGTGTGAATGCCACAACAACTTCAAGACTCCCGTCACAAGACGGCAAGTTGTGTAGTGTGAACGGCACGGCCGTCGGCCGACGCTGAAAGTCGTGTAGTCTGCACAAGGTTTAACACAGCTACTGGTGTGACTGGAGACTTTCTGTGGAGGTGCAACAACTCAAAACTTAAATAAACTGCACATCAATAACGAAAGAAGTCTTAATAATAAATAAAGTACTTTTAATGAAACACTCAACACTTCAAATGGGCGTCAGAAGTAACATTTATAGTCTTATAGTATTATAACATTTGTAGTCAAAGCAGGAACGTTGGTAAAGCAGCCTGAGATTCTTTTTACTGTATGAGAAGCTTTTCAGTTGCAGCCACCTGAAGGCAGCAGGACACATATGTTGATAAATCTGCAGCTTCTGATTGGAGAAGTACAACATCAGAGCGCAGCGCCATTACACATGGCCATCCTCTGTGTTTACCTTTATCAAATCACGTGTAAACGACAGTAGGCTGCACATACATGAACCAAGACAGCAGGTGCGCCCAAGACCTACCACTTTATAAACCAATAAATATGACCTCTCTCTTTTTCTGTCCAGGTACTTTAAACATTGTGACGGCAGCTTTGTTCATGGGGTGTGGACCGTCTTCTGGTTGGGTCTGACAGACATCAGAGATTCTTACGAGCTGGTGGAGTATGCCAAGAACCTCCCAGACTCTTTCCACGCCTCCTCTCTCACCGCCTCCCTGCAACCCCCCACACCGGCGGCTGCAGGACTGTGAGCAGCCTCCTACCGGCTGCTGGTTGTGTAGTTTTGGTGGTAGTGGTGGGCTTGGGTGTGTGTTCTCTTCCTTGAAACTTGAAAACCAACACTACATACATTTAATATTATTACAAGAAATAAATCATCCTCTATTTGTAAAGAGTTCAAGTAGAGCTGGAGTAGATTAGTAGACCTTTTAGAGCTGAGTGTTTCAGAGGCATTTCCACTTTGCTAAGAAACACTGTCACTAAATCCACACTGAGGTCGCTTCATTTGATAAGGCAACTTCTCTAATTTTACACTTTTCATCCAGACTGAACTGGTGGTGTTCACACCCAGAAATGCTCTTCAGAGTGGAGATATCTCAAAACTGTGGTGTTGGGTTGTAATGTGGACCAGGAAGACCGCTTTTTCAAAATACTTACGGTACTGTATGCCTTCACAAACACAGCCAGGTGCTGTGTCGCCTCCAGATCTTTCTGTGATCGCTTATTCTGAAAGTAAATACGTCAAACTGGGCAATACAGGTGCTATTGCAGAGTTCAGTTTACTCGTTGGGACGAGTCCTGCTCAGCTTAAGAAAACAGTGGCTGGTGTTTTCTGTGGCTCTGTAAGGAGCTTTTTTGAAGTTTGAGAAAATAACCATGATGATGTCATAGCGACATCATCAGGGTTGTCTTGGCTTTAGCTTGCAAGCAGAAAGCCTGCGTTACATACTGGAGGTGTGGAGTTAGGAAAATGTGGGCATTCACCAGTCAGAGACTGATGAAAGATGCAATTGAGATGCATTGTGGGAAATGTAGGATCCAGTGTTTTTAAAAGTCAACAGATCTCAGCGTGTGTTGCTTCAATTTCGGCCATCTTTTCATTTGCTGATTCACGTCATCTGCAAGTTTACTTACTTGAATAACTGGTGTACACTTTTAATCTATATGTTGTCAGATAAATTTACAAGAATAAAATAAACAAGATTTTCCAGATTCGTATTGTTTCGGCTGTGAAAGTAAGCGTTAGAATCCACAAGTTTTTTTTGCCAGCCGGTCAGAAAACAAACCTCTAAACCGCTGCTTTTCTCTTGCAATTCTTAAATGCCAAAGTGTGATGTTTTATTGCTGATTGTTGTTGTTTGTGTGTAATATTATACTTTCAATAAAGCACTTCAGCCCAAACAACTCACACGTACAAGCGTCTCAAAATCAGTCATTGGAACCCCACTGAAAGTTCAAACACTGAGATCTATTTATGAAGCTTCTTACACTGCCTTTCAGCAAGGAGGCGGATGATTCCTAAAATTCCCTGTAATGTAAGCCAGAAAGTTAAACTTTCATGTATTCTAGATTGATTACACAAAGTGAAATATTTCAGGCCTTTGTTTTACTCCTGATGATTAGTTTATAGCTCATGGAAATCAAAAACTTCACACTGGACTTCAAAAGCAGCTTGGATTCTGTGCATCTCCACTCATCCTCCGGACTCTGGGACCTTTACATCATCTGAAAAAAGGACTTTGGACCACTGAGCACAATCCAGTCCTTTTTTCTCCTTGTAGCTCATTTACTGGACACGTCTGTGCTTGGTGACTCTTGATGCTTCCTTCTCCTCTACCTGCAGTGCTCAGTCCACTCCTTGCGAAGCTCCCCCAACTTCTTGAATCAGCTTTGCTTGACCGTCCTCTCAAGGCTGAGGTCATCCCTGTTGCTTGTGCACCTTGTTCGTTCAATTCGAATTTTTGAATTTGAATATGCTTTGATACAGCTCTCTGCAATGACCTTCTGTGGCTTATCCTCCTTGTGGAGCTTAAGCCACAATTGTCATGTCAGAAGTCTTCCTCATGATTGTGGGTTGTGTGTACTGAACCAGTCTGAGAAATTAAAGGCTCTTCTCAGGTTGACATTTCTGTATAATACATTATTTATTCTAATAATTTGAGAAATAGATTTATGATTTCCATGTGTTGTAAGCCCTGATCATGAAGATCAAAACAAAAAAAGGCCTAAAACATAACATTCATATGAATCTAAAATATATAAAAGCTTCACTTTTTGAATTAAATTACGGGGAAAAATGAACTTTTTCACAATATTCTAATTTCCAGAGAGGCATGTGTATACTGCTTGGTATGAAATATAATCAACCATTATAAATAAGAATAATAAACTTTACTTGTATTGCACATTTCATAGAAGAAATGCAGTTCAAAGTAGAAATTACATACACAAGTGCTTCACGTGAGAAGACACATAGAATGAACATTAATTAATGTACTATATAATTAATGGAAAATCAGATGGAAAATAAAACCCACTTGATAATGTTAGTAAAAATAAGATAAAAAGAACAATTCATAACATAAGAAGGTAAAAAAGTAGAGTTAGGGGAGGAACGAGAGGTAGAGCATTGACTGACAAGCCCGCGCGTCAGCTCTATTTCTTCATCCTCACCATCTTGGATTAAGGGCTGACTGGATGCTACAGTGACTCAAATGATGCTCAAATCAGAGAAACTCCTGATAAATAGACTAACATTAACTGGAATACCTCTGGAGACCAATCCATTGAAATTTAGGTCTAGGAGGTGGATAATAAAGTTGAGCTCTTGAATATCTGTTAGTACGTGAGTAGCTGCCTGCTTGTTTTTGTCTTAGCCTAGTTTAACGTTAGCTAGCTATAAAGAGAACATTCTTTTTTCTAATGATTTTTTATTTTAGTAATGCATAGATCATAATTTAGTAGGGCTGTGCGGTATATCTTTATTGGGGACGGACTGGCACAATAATTCAGGACGGGAATTTGACTCCACCCCAGGCCATCCTGTTCACGTAAACCACCAACCGCTAATTTTGTGGACTAACCCTAACTGTTATTTGTTGATGTAACGGGCACCAAACCAGGTATAGTCTTTGCTGCTATGTTCATCTACAGACAATTGTACTTATCAATCAATTGACAACTGTACTTATTTACAGTAACCTTATTTTTGATGTACTACTTCATTGATAAAAACATACAAACATAAATGTCATTAACCTTAAATCTGGCAGTTGGTGGCCATGGTGATTAAGATTATTATTAATAATCCTGGCTTTGAGCTTCATCACCTAATAATTTATTAGCCTGCTCACTATAGTAGTGCATTAAACACATGACTCAATTTTCTATTCAAATTAGATTTAAAAATGACATTTAATAAGAACAGACTCTGTTGTAAAGCTGTTTGACCATCTTCAAGTATGTGAAACACATAATAGATGCAAGTAACAGCTATCAAATATCACACCACTATGCCTGCTACTGCTAATGTCTAGCTAAAGCAAACCTGGTATTCAGCTCAATGCCAGAAACTCCTCCATTACATTTCTGTCACTGCCTTTCTACTCTTTAACAACAGCTGCATTGTAGTCCTTGTGATTCTTCATGTTGGCAATAACTCATCACATTAGACTATATGAATGAATCTTTAAATAGGTCCACAACCTGTTGCACCGGTTGTGTGCAAGTTCAAACTGTCACTTGCAAGGTCACTTAACCCTAACCCTTCAAATTAGAGATAAGAATGTTTTCTTTATAGCTAGCTAACGTTAAACTAGGCTATATGATAAAGTGACAGTAACCCAGTGACAGACTGCACGAAAAACCTTCAAGAAAGCCCCCCCCATGCTATCATGCTTTTTGGCTTTTCCCCTCTCCTTTATTGAGTTATATATATTTTTTTGTGCATGTTATAGGTTTGCAAATTGAAAAAGCCCAAAGTCCAGCCCAAAGGGAGTTCCCATCTCCCACAGAAAACTCTGCCTGAAAAGAGCTTGTTTGTAGTCTAGTCTTTACTTCTGATTTCTTGTGTCGTCACAATTAAAATACGTGTCATAACGCTCGCCAAGCGGCTAGTCTGACACGCCCTCAAAAACACCGGTGGAAAAACACTGAGATCCAGCACACAGCTCTCCTCTCCCTTCCAAACACTAGCTACCCTCCAGGCAGTCAATGGTCATAAAGTTGTTACTGTGATGTAGAGACAGAGCTCAGTTAAAACTGGATGAAAGATACTTTTGTTACAGATTAATAACTCACCACTCTGAAACTCTTGCTCCAGTCCATATTGCCAAGCTGGTCGGCAACATGTAGCCTACAGCTGAATCGAAGCTGTTTACCGTTTACCTTTCCACACAGCTACAATACATTTGGGTTTGTATTTATTCCATAGGCTACCTGGCTTTCATGCCAACTTTAGTAGATACCTCTGCAACACAATACATAGACGTCTTAAACATGACATCAGAAGGTTTAAATCAAAACTGGACTTCTGGATCCTCTGCATTTGAAAAAGTATCGCGGAAGCCCTTGATTTTAACCTTCCTTGAATAACTATGACCTTGATTACTGAAACCTTCACAGACATCGGAACTGTTGCTTCTTCACATTCTGTTGATAATGTTATTTCATTTTTTGAATGTGGTAAACAAAAATTCTGGCTAAATCTCTCACATTCTACCTAAAGTCAAGAATGAAATATTTGTTCATGTAACCTGCAGGAGGAGTTTTTTGTTTGTTGGACAGGTGAATGTCATCAAAGCTTTTTGGGCCCCTTTTTCTAAAACTGTTGTATAATGCGGGTCTGTGAGGCCCTTTGAGGCCAAGCTGGTCGGCAACATGTACAGCTGAAACGAAGCTGTGTTTACCGGCTTCTCATTGGCCCGCCCTTCTCTGCTTCTGACTGGCTAATAGTCCTTAACTAGGAATTGCACGTGTCCACTCCCCACAAAGATTATGTAGAGGCAAAATGGGTTGTGGTTTCAGCAACACGTCGACCTTAGCTCCACGCACGACCATTTGAACATTTTTGGTTATCTGGGAGTGACACGCTACAACCGGCTCCGCCCAATTTTGGCTTCAAAACTGCTCTTCAGAAACCAACGGTTTAATATTAGACATCCATTTATATTTTAATAATATATTCAATACTTTACTACTTTTCTGTTGACTGTGTTGATGCTTTTCATGTTTGATCCACTCTAATTGCTGTCATTTCAAGTTGATGACAAAGGAGCAAACTACAAACTTTTCAGTCACCCATCAAGCATACAGATGGTCAGTATGCAAGACTAAAAAGATAGATGTTCAGAGGACTGTTTCTTTAATTAGGTATATACATGTAATGCACACATCACGTAATAAAATTGATAATGTTTAGTTTATATACTGTAATGTTTATTGCATTAATAATTGTTGGATTATGTCTGCAAATTGCAGTAAATAACACATATACAAACCATTTAATACTACTTAGACAGAGTCAGTTAGATGTTTGCCAGCAGAGGGTGCTCTTATGTTATCTTATATGTTTCTGTTATTTGCTTTGCCATGGTCTTAAGCCTTATTGACCCTCCGCAGCCACCGTGGATTAGTTTATGTTTTGTATTTTACAAGGTAAGGAGTGCCCCCCAGCACTGCACCACTAGAAACACTTTAATACCGTGAATATCACTGTCTGTGTTATATACCTATGCAGCACACCTGTTCCCATTGTATTATGTAACTGATTGGACCTGTTCTGTAAGTTTAATGTTGTAAGGATGAAGCTTTACTGAGCATTGCTAAACAGGTTAAAAGTTTTGTTGTGGCAGTTTAAATTATAACTAGCTTTAGAATACGGCAGCTGAAGTTTATTTTAATTTTGTAACTGATTCATGAGTCAACAGGTGTCTTGAAAACTCAGGTTTTTTTGTGTTTCACAAGCCAATAAACAGGAAGAGTTTGTTCGTTTGTTTGCATCCACCACCATTGGGTTTCCAGTTCGCTGTCCATACTTCCTGCCCTGGCACACTTCACCTAACACAACGCAGAGGCCGCTTTGGGGCTCACCGCTGGGAAGAAAAGGTTTTACATTACATACATACTGAAGTGTATTCATTGATAGTAATTAATGGACCCTTTTTGGAAATTGTTACCAAGTACCGTTTAATGGTATTTCAGGGAAAAAATCATGGCAACACCTGTAGACCTGCTGGCAGCATTGGATGATTTGGCAGATGAAGAGTTCAAAAGGTTCAAATGGTTCCTGGTGCAGACTGACATCTTGGAAGGCTTCCTACCAATCTCAAAGAGCCAATTACAGAATGCAGACAGGATGGACACAGTGGATGAGATCATAGACACCTACAACAAAAATGCTATGAAGGTGACCATTAAGGTTTTGAAGATGATCAAAAAGAATGACCTCGTGCAGCGTTTATCAAGCATTAGCTCAACATCCAAAGGTAAGTAGAGGGAAAATAAAATTATGATTATGATTTTAATTGCATTGTTACGCGTAAAATTGAATAATGAATTCTTGTATTGTGCACTTTTAATTTAAAAAGACTGCTATATACACAAAAGTGCAATAACGTGGTTTGCAAACACTTAAAACAAATAAGGTGCTTTTTACCAGCAGTATTCCCTTTACACAGTAGCAATAAAATGTTTCTTGTAAATCTCAACTTTAACATTAGTGTAATCAAATCAAATATTAAACCAAAGCTATTTGCCACTGCCAGCTGCCAGCTTGTTGAAACAGTCCAGAGCCACGATCATAAAATCATAACAGGCACCTTCTGAGCACCAGGTCAACATATAATTCTCTCGGTTGTCTTGTCTCTCGGTTGTGCATGTGTTCACTCGCACAGACTTGACGCAGTTAAAAACCTGCCTATGACGTTACAAGTCGTGGTATTTATTTTACAAGCACAGACAAGATAAAGCAGCAGTGAACACACAGGGTGCAGATGTTGGTTTCGGTTGTTTGATAGGCTGTGTGTCATTAACAAGTCCACAAGCGCTCACCTGCTGCCGTGATAACGGATGGCACGTGGAAAAATACGGCAAAAAGATTCTGTGTCTTTTAGGCGACTTGATAAAACATACTGCTGATGGAGAAAGTGGAGCAGAGGGGCAAGCCTGTGTGTTTTAAGGGAGCTAATAAAAGGGAGATTTGTTCAAATTTGCTAATAAGTTTCCCATTTGGTTAAAATACAACTTTTACTTGATGATTTATGTTTTATAAACATGTCTGCTTAAAATAGTGTTTTTTGTTGGTAATTGTCATGCGTGGTGTCTTGTGGTGGTTTACCAAACCAGGAGTGAAGGGAGATTTTTAATTATTTGATGAAAGCGAACTGCGTGCAGCCATGTTTCGATCAACTGACATAAACTTCACGGTTCATGTAAGAGGCCCCCCACCCAGTCAGGGCCCTAGGTCAGCTGCCCATGTACCCACGCTACCTCCGCTTATGGCAGCGTAGCTGACCTCTCCTGGCCTGGGAGCATGTCAGTTATGCCAGAGTAAAGAGTAAAGAGTAGGCTCATTACATTGGCTCTCTGTATGTAAGACTTGTCTCGGTAAGCTAGTGAGCAAGCTAGCTAGCTTAATGTTAAAAGTCACTTCACGTTATGAGCTGTAAAGTTTTATATACACTTTCCCTTGATCAATGAATTGTTAATGACGCGGAGAGTAGCAAATTATTATGATACACAACATTCTAGATGTGCCCTAACTTTAAAATCATAAATGCATGGCTCACGGTGAAGTTTACAGCTAGAGAACGTGTTGCTGCCGAGTGAATGAGAGAAGAGAACACCGGCCCAGGCGGCCCAGACTCCCATAAAAAAACTTTGTGAGTTGTTGAGTACGGAGCACCCCTAGGCCCACCTAGTCAAAAAATAAATTACCTCAAGATAGTATCATGAGGCCACAAGGTAATTTAGAATAATTTTTTTTGACTAAGTGTGCCTAGGGGGGCTGTTAGTTAGTTGAGTATGGGGGAAACCAGTGTTTTTCCTACCAGTGTTTCAAACATACAAAGGGAATTTTCTTCTCGCTCATTTGAACTTTAGTTGTGCAATGTTGTTCTTGTGTTCTGTCCTCTCTGTGTGTTTAAGCGTGGGCGGGGCTTAGCGGCATCACACATAAACAGACCCGCAGACTCACACGCCGTCACATCGAAGTCGGCATGCTAGCAAGACGTCACTTAACTCTCATAAGTGAAACCCCATCGGTAGATGCAAGACGCAAACTCGTTGATTCCGTGGCTGTGTGGACGGGGACAGATAATCTGTTAAAAACATGTTTGCTCAGGCTTAAGAGGCACAATTTCCAGAAATGTGTTTCAGCAATCAAGAAAAACTGTAAGAACAGATCGCATGCTCAGATGAGTCCTCGCTGCACACAGTAATTTACGGTTTGGTCCATGACAGGACTTGATTTAAGTGAAACTTTCTGTTGCTGCAGCAGAAACATCCATTAAAAGATTTATTTTTGAAAGTAATAATAGTAAATAGTAGTGTTGTAGTACTCGAGACCGGTCTTAAGACCACTTTTTGATGGTCTTGGTCTCATCTTGGACTCGACTGCATTTGCACTCGGTCTTGTCTCGGCCTCGGACACTGAGGACTGAGGATTTATTTTCAAGACCAGTCAAGACAATAACTTTGGGAATATCAATAAATAGCTTTTACATTGTCTCATTTATTTGTTAACAACTTTGATTGGATGTAAATGTATTGCTTCAAATGCAACCAATATCCCTAAATAAAAATGTCACCCCTACCCATGATGGTACGCATGTAAAAGGAGTGTTGAATAAAGATGCTTACGTTGATTTCAGCTCTTAGTGTTTGTATGTGAGTTTTTTAATTGGAATGTGCATCTTTCAGATCAATTTGAGAAGTATCTATGATCTTGTTCCAGTTTTTATTGTGTGTCAGGTAATGTAAGGAACTGGTCTTGGTCTTGACTCGGTCTCGCCCTCCCTCAGTCTTGGTCTCGACTTGGTCTCAGCCCCTAAAAGTCTCGATAAACTCTGATCTTGGTCTTGACTTGGTCTCGGTTTGGGCGGTCTTGACAACAACACTAGTAAATAGTAAAAGTAATAAATAATCAGTTAATGCAGGTTTAAGGGATTAAATAAATTGCATCGAGGTTTATTTTCAGAAATTATAAATAAGTCTCTATTGCTACTCCACCTGACAGCAATAGGCTGAATATGTAACATGGAGATCTGGAAATGTTTGCTTTACTCCACAATAGCATATTGTAGTTAATGTCTTCTGTTGTTTTTTCTTTCAGAGACTCTCAATGATTGCGGCGTAAACTCAAATCCAACCTGAGGAAGAAGTTTCAGTATTTCTTTGCGCAAGCCACAAAATCTGGAAAGCCGATGTTGATGAATGAGATTTACACTGAGCTCTATATCACGGACAAAATATCTGGAGAGGTCAACATGGAACAGGATAAAATACAAACTGTTTATTTGAAAAACACTATCAGTATAGAAGACTTCTTTGAACCCTTGCCTGGTCAGGATGGATCAGTTAGAACATTAATGACAAAAGGAGTGACTGGTATTGGAAAAACAGTCTTGACACAGAAGTTTGCCTTGGATTGGGCTGAAGACAAAGTCAACGACAAAATACAGTTCATATTTCCATTCACCTTCAGAGAGTTGAATTTGCTAAAGGAGAAAAACTACAGCTGGGTGGAACTCCTTCATCACTTCTTTGCTGACACCAAAGAAGCAGGGATATACAGTTTTGATAAACTCCAGATCGTGTTTATCCTTGATGGTCTGGATGAGTGTCAACTTTCCTTGGACTTCCACAACAACGATATCCTGACTGATGTTACTGAGTCAGCTTCAGTGGATGTGCTGCTAACAAACCTCATCATGGGGAAACTGTTCCCTTCTGCCTGCCTCTGGGTAACCACAACACCCGAGGCAGCCGGTCATATCCCTCCAGAGTACATTCACAAGGTGACAGAGGTAAGAGGGTTCACTAATCCAAAGAAGGAAGAGTACTTCAGGAAGAGATTCAGAAACAATAAGGAGTTGGCCAGCAGAATCATTAACCACATGAAGGCATCAAGAAGTCTCCACATCATGTGCCACATCCCAGTCTTCTGTTGGATCACTGCAACAGTTCTGGAAGATGTGTGGAAGACCAATGACAGTGGAGCGCTGCCCACGACCCTGACTGAGATGTACATCCATTTTCTATTAGATCAGTCCAAACTGGCGGATATCAGATATGACGGAAGAGCTGCGACAGATCCACTCTGGAACACCAGTAAGATGATCCTGTCTCTGGGAAAACTGGCTTTTGAGCAGCTGGAGAAAGGCAACCTCATCTTCTGTGAAGCAGAGTGCAGCACTGATATAAGAGCTCTCTCTGTCTACTCGGGAGTGTTTTCACAGATCTTTAAAGAGGACCATGGGCTAAACCAGGACAAAGTTTTCAGCTTTGCCCATTCAAGCTTTCAGGAGTTTCTGGCTGCTCTTCATGTCATTGTGTCATTCATCAACTCTGGTGTCAACCTCTTGTCTGAAAAACAATCAAGCTCCCAACAGTCTGCACTCAACACAGAGCAATCTGCAATTAAACTCCTCTTCCAGAGTGCAGTCAACAAGGCTTTACAGAGTTCAAATGGACAACTGAACTCCTTCCTCCGCTTCCTCACTGGCCTCTCGTTGCAGACCAATCAAACACTTCTTCAGGACCTAATGAAACAACAAGGAAGTAGCTCACAGAGCGCTGAGGACATAGCCCAGTACATCAAAAAGAAGATCAGGGAGAACCCCTCTCCAGAGCAATGCATCAACCTATTCCACTGTCTTAATGAGCTGAATGATCATTCTGTAGTGGAGGAGATCCAACAGTACCTCAGTTCAGGATGTGTTTCTTCAGGCAGTCTCTCTCCTGCTCAGTGGTCAGCTCTGGTCTTCGTCTTACTTTCATCAGAGGATGAGTTGGATGTGTTTGACCTGAAGAAATTCTGTCCTTCAGGTGAAGGTCTTCTGAGGTTGCTTCCAGTGGTTCAAGCCTCCAGAGTATCTCTGTGGGTACACAATGTACTGTACATATTAAATACTGTAAATTTAATTTTTGTAGATTGACTTGTTCATTCCTTCTCTGTCTATATCTTCAGGCTGAGTGGCTGTAAGCTGTCTCAGGGAAGCTGTGAAACTATAGCCTCAGCTCTTAGCTCCCAGACCTCTAATCTGAGAGAGCTGGATCTAAGTTACAACAACCATATGGGGCATTACTACACCTACTTGCTACGAGATGTTTTGGAAAATCAACATTGTAGACTGGAAATCCTCAGGTGTGCTTTCATAAATGCTTTTTTTTTTTTTACATCATTGTGTCATAGTTATTCCCATTTCCCTTTACATGTTTGTGCTTTTGACTATTGCCTGCCCTTGTCTCTACTGAAGGAGTTGAAATCTAATGAGTGTGCTTGTTAAGCTGGCTCACAACACATATTGTCACACAATATAGACTTTTTAGGCACAATAGTGCAGTGGATCTAGGGACAGAAAGTCGACCACTTTGGTCCAGCTATAAATACCTGAAATATCTTAAGAAGTATTGGATGGATTTCCATAAAAAATTGGTAAATGTTTGCTGTCATCAGAGGATGAATCTTAATGACTTTAATCGATCCCCTGATGTTTCTGGCTCCAGCAGCGGGTCAGATTTTTTGGTTATCCAGTGAAATCACAAATATTTGGTTACCAGATGATCCATCCTAATGACTATAGTGATCCCCTGACAGCAACTATCGGATCGATAACCTTGGTACAGACATTCATATTCACAGGATTGTTGGTGATCTCATGATTTCATCTAGCTCCACTGTCAGATTGAAATTTTAATCTTTCCAAAACTTTGGACACCTTCACATATTTACATCTAAAGGCTGTCCTGTACAACCACAGTCTCACATGGTATATACTGAGCAGCTCCGTTGGAGCAGTTGAGGCTCATGTGCATTGCTTAGAGGAAAATTCAGGTGTATTTCAACATGGCGTATTTCCCATAAATGTGGCCATTGTTACTCTGTGGGTCATGATAACTTTGCACTAGCCACCATCGTTGAATAGACTTAGGGAAATGTTTACTGGGGCAAACAGTACTGGCCTCCTAATCAGATGATTCTGGCAGGAAAAAAAGTGTAAACAGATACTGTTTATTGCAACTTCTTACGCATTGTATTCACATTACCTTACCGTATGGCGAGCTGTCTGTTTGATCACACCAGCCTCTCCCTCTTATTCTTGATTTTGGGGAGGTGAAACACAGTCTCCAGGGTGCCAATTTTGATCAGTGCTCCAAAGTGGTGTTGTTACACAGCTTGGATCACTCTCACCTGTGGACACATCTACATTTTTCAAGTCTGGCATCAACAGGTCCCATTTTTTGCAGCAAAGGTTTTCCAGCTCAATTGGCATAGAAGAGCAGTGACAGCAGGAACACCGGCAGTATCCTGAGCTACGTTGTTTTTCGGAATGATTCTGTTGCCTTTGTCTTTCATTTGATTTAGCTCCTTGGCGGTGTGCTCCTGTTTGAATAAATATGGTCGACCATTAAAGTGAAATGACTTGTGATGGTCCTCATAATAGCCCATGGATTTATCAGCCGTCGTGCTTAGTTTGTTGAGTTTGTCTAGAAGCAAGTATATCTGCAGTAAAAGTCAGCCTCACACATATGAACACACTGGAGTACACAGATGAATACAGTATGTAGGATGGTTAGGTCAGCTGGCAAGTTGAACTGGATACAAAGTTAGCATGACCCATACAGTCACAAAATTTGGGGAAAATATAGTTGGTTTGGCACCTCAGTGATGGCAATGATGGAGGGGCAAGGGCTGTTTTTTCTCCTGCTGCACACTTCTCACAAAATGCTAATGTTCAACTAAGAATGATTACAAATTGAACAGTACATAATAAAAAGAGTAATACAAAGGAACCACATTCACTGTGAAGAAAAACAGTCTGTCAGACTGCTTTGAATCAAAACTTATTTTTTAAGGAATTATTCATCTTCTTCATGTATGCTTCTTTAGGCTGAGTTGCTGTGGTCTGCGATCTGGGAGTTGTGAATTTCTGTCTACAGTTCTCAGTTGTCAGTCCTCCAGTCTTAGAGAGCTGGACCTTAGTAACAACGACCTGGGGGACTCAGCAGTGAAGGTGCTCTCTCTGGGGTTGGAGAGTCCACACTGTAGACTTGAAACTCTCAGGTCAGCCAGCCTTTTGACTAACCACATACAAATTGGTTTGAAGCCTGTCATTCGAATATATTGTTTTTACTAATATCTCCATTCTCCATTCTGTCTCGTAAACCCAGAAGTTTTTTCTTTTTTTAGGTTGATTAGCTGCGCGCTGACGTGGAAAAGCTGTGATGCTTTGGCCTTTTTCCTCAGCTCCAAGTCTTCCAGTCTGTCACAGCTGGACCTGAGTATGAACAACCTGCAGGATTCAGGAGTGTTGGTGTTCAGTGCCGGACTGGAGAGTCCACACTGTAAACTGGAAACTCTCAGGTCAGCTGGTTTCGGTACTGTAACGTTCTGCTAAAAGCAGACTGGGAGTTTGGCTTATTAGCCTATAGTATACTGTGGTATCACAAATGCTTTATGGACTTAATGAACTGACAGGGTAAACAGAGTGCTATTAACTCTCCTTTTTTTAAGCAGATTTTAACTTATTAATCAGTTTAACCCGCGCTAACAAGTGTATGTTACCAAATGATTTTCATAAACATAGCCTATGAATGGCTTATACAGATCAATTATAACGCGGCCAGCTTTGGAAATAATACTCAGATCACATCTCTGCTATCATAAAATCCTGTGGTTGGTTAGTTTGCTTTCACACAACAAGCGAACTGCACCAGAGTCCATTTGAAAGCGTACAGAGACCACCTCTTCAAGGAGTTCGCGTGGTTTGGAGAGTACCAGGCAGAGTGGAGGAGTAAAACACCGCTGGCATTTTCACCATAATTTAGTGTTTATTTGCTTCTCGAATCTACTCCTCTCCATTCTCTTCTCCCCACATTATAAAACTCCTCCATAAACAAGTATGTAAGGATCACTGCATTAAAATTCTGTTAAGAATTATATTTCCCTAGATTTATCACTGTCTTATCATACTCTGTCATACACTTCATTTATTTCTTGCTTTAACATATACAGTTTCCATTCCATTCTTTAATTTAAAGATGGCTCTCATACATTTAAAGATCCTAAAGCAGTAAGTGGCCTATAAATTAATGTATGGTCCATCTTTAGACAAAGGGAATTCAGTTTGTCAGGGTCCATCTGATTTAAACTTCCAGGTTGAGACCAACCATAATATGTTTTTAATGTTTATTTCATTATTCATCCTTCTTCAGGTTAAGTGCTTGTAACCTGTCAGGAAAAAGCTGTGAAACTCTGGCCTCAGTTCTCACCTCCCAGACCACCAGCTTGAAAGTGTTGGACTTGAGTAACAACAATCTGCAGGATTCAGGAGTGAAGCTCCTTTCTGCTGGACTGGAGAGTCCACACTGTAACATAGAAATGCTCAGGTCAGCAGAGGGAAATATTTGCTATCTTTAGAGATGGTGGAATCTTTTTTTAATATTATTTTAAACAATTATTGTCCACATGTGAGTTTGTGTTTGTGTTTGTCATCATCATTACTTCTTATCCAGGTTGAGTGACTGTAAGCTGTCTGAGAGAAGCTGTGGAGCTCTGGCCTCACCTCTCAGCTCCCAGACTTGCAGCTTGAAAGAGCTGGACCTGAGTACCAACGACGTGCAGGATTCAGGAGTAAAACTTCTTTCAGCCGGACTTGAGAGTTGTCAATGTAGACTGGAAACCCTCAGGTTAGAACAGATTCCCATTTAAAGACTTCCTCATGTACAGTTTTAGTTCACATGACTAGGGTTAACCTACATTTCAGGTGTAGTAATTATCATTGTTAATCCATAAGTCCTTTCAGAGGATTATTACAACAATAATTAACTTCACTTAATTGACTATGCATTAATGTTAACAGGCTGTCCGGCTGTCAGGTCACAGAAGAAGGCTGTGCTTCTCTGGCCTCAGCTCTGAGCTCCAACCCTTCCCATCTGCGAGAGCTGGACCTGAGCTACAATCATCCAGGAGACCCAGGAGTGACACTTCTCTCTGCTGGACTGGAGGATCCAAACTGGAGACTGGATACTCTAAAGTATGGCTCATAGAAGCTTACACTCATTCCTTTAAGGGAGCAGAGGAATACTGAAGGATAATTCTGTTTATTACAACTTGGGTCTTGAGCGTTACAATAATTTTATATTGGAAAAAAGATGACCGTTGGTCAAACTTCTGGTGAGAAAACAGGCAAAAAAAAACCTTCACTCAAACTGTGACTTTGGTAAGTACAATGTTAACTGATTGAAATGTCTGAATTGTTTAGACCCAAGTTGGAAGGCTATTTATGCCTGTAGTTTGTATGATGCGTTGGCAATATTGTTGTTACACATTCATGCCAATAAAGCTGATTTGAATTGAATTGAATAATGCTCATTTTAGAGTCAAAGATTATATTATGGTGGCCCTGAGGTGCAAAGAGAACAACAATTGATAAAACACAATAACATTATAGAAAACACAACCACAAAACTCAACAGAATAACATTTCAGAACAAGAATTTTTATCCCTACCTTTTTTGTTTTGTGAAATGTTGTCTTTTCTGAAATATAATCTTTTCTATAATGTTGTTAGTGTTTTTTGTCCAATGCTGTGTTTTGCTCTTTAGGGCCACAGTAGAATTTGCTTTTCTCACTTAGTGTGTTTATTCTTTCAGAGTGGACCAAGGTGGAGTGCAGAGGTTAAAATCTGGGCTGTCGAAGTGTAAGTTTTTTTTATTACTTGAACAAAGCAGCTTCCATGTCTTATTATTATTATTTTATTTTTACAAGTGAGGCCAAAGGCAACAAAGAAAGTATACCCATCAAAAACATGTTAGCTCTCCAGTCAGTGCAATTGAAGATCACCAGATTAAAGATCTGGAGTTGGTCCACGGGATCTGCACAGTGGCTGCACACTGCTCCCTCGAGGGATGGGTTAAATGCAGAGAATGAATTTCGCTACATGTATGTGTATGTGACAATAAAGTATCTAGAAAAAACCCTAAACATTAGCAAGTAAATGTAGCATTTAGGCATACAGTGTGATGTCTGTGTATTGTGTCACATGATTATGGTCCTTTCCATTTTTAATTTTTAAAGATTAAACTTTCATGACATAATTTGATATATATACAGTATATATATATATATATGACTTGGTTTTTATTCAGTGCTTAGCCTACATGTAATCTGAGACTAAATAGGCTTTATTGTCAAACTGAAAGCCTTTGCAGAGTCGTGTAATTACTCCTTCATGACATTTCGTAAAACTCTGAAGCAGCTGCGGCAGTAATTTCTTTGCAGCGGGCCACCACTGCTGAATGTACATAGCAGAAACCCTGCATACTGATGAAAGTTTCTACATTTATATTTGTATTCACAATCTAAGTAGCTTAGACCTAGCTAAAAAGGGTGGCCTGGCTGCCTTTGAGGGCTTTTATACATCCAGAGAACTGTAAAAACCAGACCAGGCGCCTGATTGAGACCTGGCTTTATATAACAAAATGGGTTCCCACAAAAGGCCAGTAAAAGGGACAGGTGGCAATTTGGGACTTGGCTATTATTGGAAGTTTTATGGTGTACATATTTTGCAAACATGTACTTTGTAATATGGTCATAACCGTTAGTTTGCTGTTCATGCAGAGTGAACTAGATGTCTGTGTGTTGTTTATACACTCTGATAATGCTAATCCGACACATCTTTGTAGTAGCGTCCATGTTGATTCCAAATTCCGATTTGAGAGCACATGAACACACACTGAAGTCGGAGGAACGACTTCACAATTCGGGAAATGGGACCATGCGAGGAGCTGGTGAATGCACCGTGAGCTGCTGGTTGCAATTCGCAACCAGCAACTCTCACCACTAAAACTTACACACCTTTAAGTTTCAATAGCCTGAAATATTCCAACAACGACTACAGCACAAGGAGAGACCATTCCGCACTTTATGGCATCATAATAAAGTGTTAATATTTTATTTTTATTATTTTACCGCTGGCACACAGTGGAAAGCAGATTATTGAATGTGGCGCTCTACAAATTGGAGGATTCATCATAAAGCTAATACAATAATACTAAACAAACAAGCAGCAGTCAATACAGAGTCTAATACAGTAATACACTCAACTGAGTTCATTTTTCGCGGGTTGAGCGGTCTCAACCTGCATTACAGTAAGGTCAATATTGCACCTTAGTGGCTGCCGGGTGGAGTGCAGCCATCCTGTCATAATGATGCTGCTAAAACTTGTTTATTATTGCCTGTTTATCTTGTAAATATAAATAATAATAATTTCAATGAAAATTACATTAGTTGTGATAAAAAATAATGGTTGTTGGTAAATGTATTAGTGACCCTGCATGATTTTACTGCTTCCATGGGAGCTCAGACTCTCAGCAGCATTATCCAAAACACTAAAAAAAGTGTGAATGCACAGGTCTTGGCATGTTCGCCATCAAAATAGCTATTAATATTTGTGAATCTAAATCATGCAGATTTGTATAGACCAACTGCAGCTTGGTTTAGGTCCTTAAGATCTGTAGTAGGATTAACTTTTTTTCTGTGGGTAACGTAAGCTAACTGTTCATATAACTGTGTGTTTTAGATCTCTCTGATTCGAACTGTCAACTCGATATAAATCCTAAAGCTGCTTAAATCAGCTGAATTGAAACACTGTTGTAGTAGCATTACATGAAATTCAATTCAAAAAGATACATTTTCGTTTAAAACAAACGATAGAAAAACTTCTATCAACATCTTAAGACAAATGCAGACCTATGCCTTTGCTAAACTCTTTACAAAAACGTTTAATAAAGCTGACTACACAGTAGCTTATGTTATCCACTGCAGAATTTACCGGTAGCTGTGTGTTTTCTTCTGGACGTTATTTTACAGATTAATTCTTTATGGTTTAGGTAGCCAATTGTTATTACGAAGATTTAGCTGACATGTTCTCCTTCTTGAAGACAGTCACAGCTTCTCCTGCCTCCGCCATTCACATAATTGGAGTGCGTGTGAAGGAGGCGGGGATGTGAAACACCGCATTATTGGTCGTATTTAAAGCAGGAAGTTTTACATCTAATCAAAGTTAGGATGTAAACAAAAATATCAGACAATGCAGAGGCAATTTATTGATATTACCACAGTTGTTGACTGTATTGCTGATTGTCCTACTTGACTGTAGGAGTCCTCAATGTTTGAGACCGAGACAAGAGAGTACAAACGTTGTCAATTCCAAGAGGAGACCGAGACCTTAAAAAAGTGGTCTCAAGACCGACCTTGAGTGCTACAACACTACTATACAGCATAAACATACTGCAGAGTATGTTGTTCCCAAAACATTAAACTGTTAATTATAGTAACTGCCAAGTAGTTAGTATATCCACAAATGCTGACTAAAACAATTATGTTCTGCTTTACTGTGTCTTGTTCTCTCTACCAGATGCCTGTGAACTCACACTGGACCCAAACACAGCACACAGAAGTCTGTTACTCTCTGAGAACAACAAACAGGTGAAATGTGTGGAGGAAGAACAGCCTTATCGTTATCATCCTGAAAGATTTGATCAGTGCCAACAGTTGATGTGTAGAAATGGTTTGACTGGTCGCTGTTATTGGGAAGTTGAGACTAAGGGATCGTATCGTATCGCAGTAGCTTACAGAGGAATCAGCAGGAGAGGAGACGCTTGTGACTGCATGTTTGGAAGGAATGACAAGTCCTATGGTCTGTACTCTGATTATACTGGTCACATATTTTGGTTCAATAAGACAGAAACAATTATTTGTATGACTAGCAAAGAAACTAACAAAGTAGCAGTGTATCTGGACTGGCCTGCTGGCACGCTGTCCTTCTACAGAGTCTTCTCTGAAACACTGACACACATCTACACCTTCTACACCAGATTTACAGAACCCCTCTATCCTGGGTTTAGCTTTGACTTTTTGAATGACCCTGTCAGGGTTGAATACTCATTGTGTCAGACAGATGAGGAAACCAATCAACTGACATCTAGCACAGAATTCTAAGTGTGATCAAGAATAAAATTACCCAATTCAGGGTGACCTTTAAGGATGGTTAGTTTGCATTCACAGTAACTTACTACAGCTCTGCTGCAGTAAACAAGCATTAAAAAATGAGGCTGTTGTCAATGAGATAAAATTACACTGGAGTACATACATGCCTCGTTTCCTGTGAATCACTCGTGCATGGGAAAGCATCTTGAATCCAGCGTGGGCATGGCGGACTCCACCACTAACAATGAAAACTAAAGAGAGGGAATTGGTGAATGTAAAACTAAATGTGATTTTAGGGTTAGTAGGGCTGTAGGTCAAAACGCAGCTTCCTTACTTTCACTTACTATTTTGAGGGCATAAGTGCATTCACACTGAGAAGTATGGCAAAATGCAGTATACTGTGAGTCCCCGGATGGTGCGCTCATAATGGCTAAAAAGTTGTGTGGAACGGTTGACACTTGTCACCCTCAACGGCCGCCATTTTAGCTACGTAAGGAAGGGGCGGGACCAACCACACAGGAGAAGCGAAAAGAGGCAGAGAGAGAGGCCAACAACAGAACGTCTTTTACAAGTTTTGTACACTATTTCACTCTTGAGAAGTTTTGCAGATGTCGAATATTGACAGTTTTATGAAAAGTGATGTTGGATCAAAAATGTGCTTGAAGCCTAAATTGGAATCGGCAGGTCAGGGCTTTAATGAAATCGGTAATTGAAATAAACATAAACACAAAGCAAGATAAACAAACTTAACATGTTTTTTCCCTGCTGTTGTCATTTATTGTTATGAACTGTTTTAATGCTGGGTGGTGAAGCCAAAACATTTTTTCCACAGTGTGGACAATAAAGCTTCTTCCTATGTATGAATGCAGCACTGTGTATGTCTGTAAACGCTGACTTCATTTTGCTCTCCACATGTTAGAGTAAAATGTAAAAAATAAAAATGAAATCATGTTGCTGAAGGTCCATCCATCCATCACAATCTGATTTCCGCTCTACCACCCCTAAGCTCATTCTCCTAGCTATGATGCTACAGATGCAGCTATCAGTCTCCTCTATCTTATCCTCAAGCATTACAGCTGGACTAGACACACATTTTAAAAGCGTGCTGTACCCTGCACCTCCTCCACTAGCCCTTAGGTAGATGACTTTGTGTTTTCCTTTACTGACAAGGTGATGGCTGTCAGTGTCCAATACACCACCACACCACAGTGTATTTCATTCCATTACGGGTTTGTCGTTTTCTGCATTTTCTCTCATCAAAATTCTGCTCATGAGTCATCTCCACCAATTACCCTCTGCACCCTATTCCCTCCAAGCTTTTCATCACCCGTTCACAATCATGTCAAATTATACAGGTTTTACTGTCTTCGGATACATTCCCAATGATATTTAAGCAGCTGTGTGAAACTTTTACTAGGAGGTTTATGAACATTATTTCCATCACAGTTTTTCTTTTGTTTTTGTTTTGATTCCTACACAGAGAAAGAATGATTGTATTTCTGTCTTCCACATTAAAGAACAACTGAAAAGACTAGAATCATGTTTTATTTGCAGAATTAATTTGTCCTCAGTCTGTTGCTACATGGAAACCATATAATAAAACTTTAGAAACTTAAAAGCACAGTCCAGATATATAAAAAAACGTCTAGCCCTAGTATTTAAACTGTAAACACAGGATTAGATGCTGTCAGGGAGTAATGTTAAATACAGTAATAAATAAGTACGAGTTATTACATTTTCTGATACTACTGAAGGTTTACCTGCATCAATAATGTTTGAAACAATAGTAAAACTGAACCAAACTCTACAGTAAACTGGTCCTATTTCAAAAGGTATTACTTGAGAAGCAATGTACATTTAAAGCATCTTAAAACAGTATAATATTGCTTATTACAATAAATCTACCACTCCATTTTACTGCTGCAAATCTTTCATTGTAAAATGCTGCGAATGCCTGCTTAAAATTCCTTTTAAGTGCTAGTTGTCTGACATCCTCAGTAACATGAGACGATGATAATAGCGGGTGATCCCAAAATTATTTGGTAAGGGAAAAAAGAGAAATGTCAGCTGTTGGTTGGAATCAAACAGTGGTCCACATTTTAAAAGCTGATGTTTTGGTAAACCATCCAACCACCCTATCATCCTTCCTATACCAATGTGGTTTTGTAACATCACCTGACATCCTCCTTAGCTCCTGTCATGATCACTACAGTAATTACAGGGCTTTGCCCCTTCAGCTAAACAGATTCGTGTTGGGGCGCCTGCTGAGGCAAGCCCACCAGATGACAGATAAGCCCAAAAAATTACTTCACACAGCCAATGAGACAGGCGCTATGCAGACAGAGGCCCAGAGACTTCTTTCTAATGCACAAAGAGCTGCTGGGAACGGCGCCAGGCAGTCATGCGCTCAACATAACATGACAGTGAGATGGAATGCAGCTTCTTCCTCTGACCTGTGAGAAGGAGGGAGAAGCCAGCTTGGAACTGCAGCCTGTGGCCTCAGCTAATCAGGCTGTCCATCCATCTGTCCATGGAGCATGAACTGCTCCACTCTCAAAACAGTGCTCAGAGAGTGGACACACATGCCTCTGATGCTCCGTGGTTGACAAGTGGAGCAACCACTCTGCCACCCTCGCTGCCGTGGGGGGTCCACTTCGAAAGGGCCGGCAAGGCGTTTCCTGAGGAAGGGCAGCAGTGTCCATCTGGCTAACAGTCACTTGGTGTGACTGAGTTGACTGAGACAGGCACAGACGGTGTTTATTCCAAAACAGCTTCACACAAAGAGCAATAAGGTTATCACACACAGTCCCGCCCCATAAAATACCAATTGCTCTGAGAGAACAGCAGCAAGCAGTCCAGTAGCTAGATGTTGTTTGCCGCAGCTAATGGCGGAAAGCGTGGTCACACAGGGTCACCCTGGTCAGCTGAAACATGGGCAGACCGCACGTTAGCTTAGTGTTGGGTGCATGTTAGCTTCTCATTAGCTTCCTGTTAGCTTCACCCTGCAAGAGCAACCCAGCCACTGTTGCTAAATCCCAGATGCCGGAGGAGGAGAAGGGACTCTCTAACTCTATTTACAGTCCCCTTTACACTACTTACAGCCTGTCTGGGTCCAGCTGAAAAGCATTGAATGCTTGGCAAAGGAGTCACCTAGCTGTACTGCCTCTGGTTCTTCTGGTCCTGTCTGTTGATCCATGTGGTCCTGGTCCTTCCATGTGTGGAAGAGAGAAAACGTTAATACAGATGACGCAGATGACCAATACAAGCATTCCGCAGTTGGTTGTTGTCTGGAAATAAATCATGGTGGAACACTACATTGTTATAACTGACACAGTCACACACCAGGTGTAGGTCCAGAGATTCCCTCCTCCCATTGTAGCTCAACTGAGCAAAGCACAAGGAAGGGTTACCGGGGTCCTCTTTCATTTCTAATTGTCGTTTATAAAAGACACCAGTGTACAAACATTTAAAAAGCGATGACAGTTTTCATATAACAGATTGTGTCTTTACAGAGTATTTAAATTTAATTGTGTGCAGTCTAACTCTTGAGTGTTACATGAATAAAAGAGGGAGCAGCAATTAAACCTTTACATGCTTTCACATTATCTCTCATATTTATTAATATTATAATTTACCATGAAATGTAAAGTAAAACTTACATGCTTTATTCTTTGAAATTACTGCAGACAGTTCTTGTGCTTTGGTGACATGGGTCCAACTTCACATCTTGTCATAGGCCTGTGAAAGGAAGAGAAAACAGTTACTCCATTGACGGTGTCTAGAGGTTTACAAGCTACACTAGCTGCCTCTATTCTCTCCCTTTTACAGAGAAACTGATTTGCTGAACTGGGAAAAACACATTAAACTCAGTCGCTTCAACAATCCTCAAAGATGTTATCTAACTCTTTCAACTGAAAAGTTACACCAGGATCTTGAAACCTCTTCACTTTAAACCATGTGTTTGTGATAGGAGTTTACCATCTCCTAATAACCTGATGAAAGACAGAGAGAGAGAGACAACTGTTACACCCAACTTAAATATGGATGGGACAAACATTTGCTCCCCCCTGTTGGTTTAGTTAGTGGTAAACACTGTAGCAGTCCAATGAAACAATGCTACACAAATCAAGGAATCACAGTGAATATAGCAAAAGTGTTACAACTAACACACAGAGGCACAATTCATAAGAGGAGGATGCTGAAGCTTTTATCTGACACAGACTTATAAAGCAGAGTAGTGGCCTCTTGGTCTCTTTGCAAACACAGCCAAACATCCAATAGAACAAAGGCCAGCGTGGCATCTGTCTTGCAGTCCCAACACCTGCATGTCAAAACATAAAATAGGAAGCATCTTCTCTGAATCCTTAATTCAAAAGAGCAAATACAAAAATACATGAGTTGCACATCTTCGGCTACTAAATATTTTAGAATAAAATCACCTGGCTGGTTCACCAGGGGAAAGCTTTCAATGTGAAATAGCCAAAATGTTCTGTATTAATCAATGGTAACATAACACAGGTAGACTATAGCTTAAATCGATCAACAAACAGTAAATGAGGCTAATATTTGCACAAAGCCTGTGTGTAATCATGCCTGACTTACTAAGGCAGCAGCTCATTACGTAGACTGATGCTGCTGCCCTGCAAAGAGAGAAGTCTCTATGATTTAAGAGAAAAATGCAACCTTATAAATAACAAATTCTATTAAATTTAATTTGAACAGGCCTACCAAACTGGGTTACATGCTCATAATATTTTGCCTAACATAAGAACAATGAAACCCATTTATTTTAACAGCTGCAACAGGCTGTGTGAAAAAGTTTTAAAAATTCAACATTTCACAAAAAAAGCAGTTAACAATATGAAGGTGTACTCATTTTAGAATCACAACTTTCCTTTTATTTTATTTCCTTATCTCACAACACAACCCCTCAGATTTATCTGGTGGTAGGCTACACCCACATTGGGATACATGGGACTGAACTGATACATGTGACTGAACTGTATAAAGAAGTTAAAGCTAGCTCCACCTTAACCAGCTATCCAATAAAAGCTGTTTACACGTTGATGATAAATAATGTCCTATATAATAATACGCCAGACAATAGTCTGCAGATTTGGTGCAGAAAGATTGATACTTGAAGTACATTTGGTACAGGTGTGTTGTTAAGCTGCATTTTGGGCTAAGGACTGTAGGTGTGTGGGCCCTTCATGGTTTTCTTACTCTTAGCTCAACCAAACCAATGGTTCCACCCAGTCTGTCAGATTTCTACACACCACGAAGACACATCGTGTTTTTGTGACTCCTGAGACACTGGTATGGAAGAAAGCAGCGCCCTCTACTGTGCGCAATAGCACTGAACCTACGCTTTTCCTCTCTTACCTTGTTTCAAGTACGTCATGAGCATTTCGCAATCTGCCTGCTTTACCTGCAGCCCATTGTGGGACAGTTACTTATTTCCCTAAGAGGACAAGTACAGAACCTTGGCAGGAGCAAATGGTAAGAACTTTAGAATTTCTATATTACCATAACCTTTAATGCTTTTGTTCTCATGGTGAGTTTCTGTTACCTATAGCACAGGTATTAAATATAAGTAATGTTCCATTATTATTGTTATTGCAAAATACTTGAAGCTGTTCCTGGCATTCTGCGGTTTTACAGATTTCATTATTTCATAATGTGCAGATGCAAGGTTGTCACAACAATTCTTATGGGACTGGTCCTGAACTATCAGTTTAGCAGTACGTTTTTGTTGGTACTTTCTGGATTTCATCCATTTATCTTTTAACATAAAAGTTTCACAAAATTGTTAGATTTTGTGTTGAGTCACTGAACAAAAATACATTCAATGAAATGATACAGGCTATTTGGCTTTTTCCAGATCATCAGAATTTTAATAAAAATTACATTTTGAAGCTGTGATATGTAAAGATGAATTGTTTTAGATTTAACTGTCTTCTATTTTGAGTTTTATTTATCCTTCATGACTAAATAGCGAGAATGGTCACCTCTCTGCTGCTTCCTCTTTCTTTCTTTTGTTCCTATTTCCTTTCTTTATTTAAGGAAATGCATAATGTTTAGATTGACCTCGGTGTTCGTTGTTTCAGTATACACTATCCAGAACAGCTATTGTCAACATTTATCAAGTGACTTACTTCTACTTTCAGCAAAATGTGGAATATATTTGTAATGAATACATATTTAGATATAGTTGAAATAAAAGGGAAGTGGCAGACAAGATACATCAGAAAAATCATAAGGAGAATTTAATACCACATCGACAGTCCAGACAATGACGATGCATGGAAAGTTGTTGCAAACAAAATCAGAAGAAGCTAATCAGTATGGTCCGTGTGGGCCTACTTTGCGGCCAACGGAAGAAAACAAAAACGAAAAACGGCTGGTTTCCCAATTACCATTTGTAAATAGGGAAACGAAAACCCCTGAAAAAAAACGTCTTTCGTTTTTAGTTTTGATATTAAAAAATGGTGGCCCGGCAGCATACTTTGTCACCGAGGTCGGGACCTCAGTAATTATGTAGGCTATGTATGTATAACAATAAAAAGCAGCCTCATCATAAAAGTAAACCCTTAGACAAAACATTAACACATCAACACAATAATGAAATCACCTGTAAAGTTATAAGGGCCGGTAGAGGTGGGATAAATCTGAGAAAATCATTAGTTGGGTTGAGTGCCGGTGGATGATTTATGCCTACATGATTATTCAGATAGGCTATCAGAGCCGATCCCTGCATCACACCAATGTAGCTCCTATAATCGTGACAAAACAGTGCAAACAGCTGCTGACATCAAATTACTAGGCTGCAATATCAACCAGAGCATTCAGCACTAACCTGCTGAATTTTATGTTACCCTTTAGTAACAATAGTTCCCATTATGCAGTCTGTAGCCTACATGTCATTTGCACAGTGTTCCTCCCTGTCAATAAGGGCTGCCGTTTTTCGTTGTTGTTTATTTCGTTTTGAAAGGAAAATCCGTTGGCTGCAAAGTAGCCACAGGGGCCCAGTATCAGCTTTAAATATTTTTATCAATAACATGAGTGTGATCTTAGGACCTGTCTATGACTGCAGGCTAGATTTGAATCAACATTTGCATGATGTCACCATATCTCTGGCTCTTTGTCACTTGAGCGCTTTTAAGGGAGAGGTTTGCTGCATGTCTGTAAGGAAACGCTGAGATGGAAAATCAAGTGATAATGGGAAGAATATATACGCTTAAGTAGCAGCGCTGATGACATGTTATTCAGGAGATGTGTGAGTGATCCATCCATCCATCCATCCATCCATCGTCAACCGCTTATCCTGCGTACAGGGTCACGGGGGTGTGAGTGTTGATCTTACCAATGGGACATTCCTGTGTTCACTGTTTCCTCAGGGCACCTGTTAACCAGTTTGTGCTCAGAGTAGCTGTTCAACCAGTCTACTCTTCTGTGGATGGTACCCACTGCTAATGTAGAGTGTTTGTAATGGAGACAGTTATATAGAAGTTCAGGAATTATGGACCAAAGCATCAAATGGTTATAAATATAAATTGATCATGTTCCTTTAGCCATGACCTAATTTTTCTCTCTCTACAGATGGCTGTGTCTAACAGACCACCACTTCAGGTGGCTACTGCTGGGTGTGTGATCATCCTGCTGACATTCTATTTTATTGTATTCTATAACTATCCAGGAGAGCTCAATGAAAAGGTTCCCACTACACAAAAAATTAGGTAACGCCTCTATTGACATAGCATGTAAATAAATGTGCATTTATGTGTATACTACACCTAATCTTTATTATGAGAAGTGCATTATGATTATACCTTCTTGTTGTCCTAATGTGAATGGCTTATATAGAAGCATAATCCCTCTTACATTCATGTCTCCGTGCTTAATCCATCTAACATTTAGTGTAAAGAACATGTCTTTCTTCACTTCCTCAAACACATTTTAATGAATCCATGCTGTCCTTTCTTTTCTCCTCACAAAACAACCACACACGTGCTACCAGTACTAATTTGCAAGGATAATCTCCTGCAAATGTTTTGCTGGCTCGCTGTATCCAGTCTTTCTTTGTGAGTGTTACAGACTGCTAACCTATTCAGGCCATTTTGAAGCATTGTGCTCTAAGTCTGTGAAGGTTCCCAGTCATCCAGGTCATAGTATCCAAAGAAGGATAAAGTCAAGGGACTGAAGAAGTCTCTTGAATGAGGGACGAAACGTCTTACAGTATCTTCAACCAAGCCGAGTTACCCTTGACTTTAACCTTCTTTGGATTGTGCTCTAAGGTCTTCAGCCTCTTCAAAGCAGGGACAACGATCAGAAGTCGCATGAGAAGTGCTTCAACTTGGTTAAAAAGACCACTGACCTCAGAATAGCCTCTGAAGTGGTTGTGTATGGGTATTGTAGTTTAAACAGCTCCTTAGATTAGCAGGAAAATGCATTGTGACAAAGTTGAAATATACAGTATTAAAGAAGTGATATTATGCTAATTTTCAGGTTCATAATCTTATTTAGCCACATGGTCCCTAGCACCTATTTCCAGGAAAAATAACATATCCAAAATAAATCAGTAATATCTCCTCAACCATTAGGCCTAGATGCATAATTCTGGTCTCCTTTGAAAGGTCAGAAGCTAAGGAATATAAATCCATTGTACATTAACATGTTTATTTTACCATTACAGACTATATGGAGATAAAATACAGAAATATGATATTTTCATCCTCGCCTGTCAAAAAAAGCTCAATTTTAATGCAATAAATCATCAAAACCATCATTAGGTAGATTATAATGCACCTGAATATCTTCTAATACACCTGGAATATAACTGTAACTGTAAATTTGATGAAAAGAAACTGACAATCAACAGATATTACAAAATCTTTCAAATATACCAGCCGAATTTCCATGTTTTGGCCATATTTACTGGTTATATGTTCACTTTTATTGGGAGTTATCTTCAAAACACTATTTCTCTCCATACAACCACGTTCCAAATAACATCAAGCTTCCAAAACATTGAAATGTTGATAAAAACAGTCAATATAAATGACCAAAAGCACTCCCATGCTTTACAGGCCACAGCTTGAGAACAGAACATCCTACAGGGCTTTCTCTTCGTCTTGAAGAGACGAATCGATCTATCCTGCATGTCTGTGTAGCTCCTACATGTCGCCAGCAAAGGCCAATAAAGACCGTCTTTATAAATATTATTAAAACAAACTCTTCTCAGAGACTTGAAACTTGAATTGGACTCTAGCGCAAAGACTTGTGAGCATCTCTGCAATGAATGCACAAGCAGCAGCAGCAGCAGCAGCAGCTATGTTGTCTTAGGAAATCCATTGCAAATAAGTGGAATAGAATTAATTTGTTTACAATTCTTATGCACCCCTGCAGTTATTAATATATATGTTGATCCATGATATATTAAGTTACCTATCATTACATAACCAATCCCGACCAGTGTCCAGACTCAGGTCGCATTTAAAAAGATCCGATCTGAATCAGATTTGGACCACATATGAAAGTGACCCAAATCCGATCTGGAAAAGATCAGATTCCATTGGACTTGGCCTGTTCACACTGTCATAAAATGGATTTAGGCCACTTTGGCCTGCAGTCTGAACGTAGACATATGATGCTCCAATCACTGAAAGGAGTACGAACGCTTCCCCACTGATATGGAAAAATGATTGGCTGAAGTCAGCAGGAGCAATCTTACTATCACTAAAGATTACAACAACAAAAAACACTTGAGGTATTCAAACTTTTTCAATAACACAATGTTCCAAAATCCAAAATATCAACAGTGAGTCTCTCTGCAGTGGGAGAGTCCCTTTAAAAAATTAATGTAAAACAAGAGAGGAACACACATCCATACTTTACACGTTTGGGCACCTGTGTGTGTATGTGAGTTTTACTGTACTACATGCATGACAAATCTTTATTGCAAACTGCTATGCCCTGCACACAAGAAAGGCAAATGCCACAAGTATTTATCATTTTCACTATCAGTGTGTAGTTACTGCTTATTTTTTTTAAATTGTGCCTAAGCAATCACTCAAAAACTCTAATGCAGTGGTGGGCAAAAGGCAAAACCCGGGCCAGAACGTAAATATAAATGTAAAAATAAATACATTGATAGGGAGTGATGCTGAAATAGATCTCAGTCATGACAGCAACAGTTACTCACATAATCACTTCCTCTTAAGTGATTGTGCCTCTAAAATTAAAGCGCGAGAACAGCAATGCTTCATGTTGAGTTTATTGAGAGCTTTTACTTTGAAAAGTTCTGAAGGACATTCGAAAGAGACTCTGGCTTACTTGACACACCTCTGTGAAAGCCGTCAGTAAACGTGTGATCGGATTCACTTGAAGTTCCTCAGGGAAATGAAAAGAAGTGTCCACAAGTTTATGAATGCTTTCCATACAACGGGCTGTCTTAGGTGAGGGAATCACCAGAAGGTATAAAAGTAAACATTACCGCAGCGGCGGCAGGGACTTGGCGGTTTTTAACAGTAGAAATGCGGCAGCGAATGCTGTAATGTTATTTGGATTGAATATGCCCAACACTTGCAGTTTGTATTCATATCTTTCTTTTTCTTAAGTTGAAAAGGTGATCCAAATAAAATTAGGCTGCTTTTGCGGTCATAAGCCTACATGTTTATTTACAGCATTAAATGTTGAAATGTATATTATATATAATAGGTTGTATATGACGTTAGTGGGAGAAAAACGGTAGATCTATGTTGTTACCCATGAATGATAACATTAACTTGGATTTTGTGTTTTCTCTTTTCTTTATTCCACTTGTGCAGAACTCACAATGTACACATAAGTGTGTGCGTGCGGTCAAACTGTAAATACAAATAATTCACCTTTAGTTTCCAGTCATGTATCATTTTCCCAAATAAGTTTTCTACAACATAACATCAGCTTAGATGATAAACATTATAAATCAAAGATATTCCGTACAAAGCAAATATCACACGTGGTAGACTATGTAGGCATTAAATATTATCACATGTGTGTAATAAAACTATCAATACAGATTTCTAAACAGTCGCTGTATTACAAACACCTATTAAACCTTGTAAATGCTACACATATTGCATATATGTTTAAATAAGCAATTTAAACCAAATGTCAATCCAAACTAACAAACTAATAGCATTAGGCGTTTAGGCGCTAATCGCGAATGGCGATCTACATAGTGCTTTTATCAATATACTTATAACAACAACATTTGACTTACCACGCTGGGAACATATAGTTCAGATTAAGTGTTTAGCTGTAATTGTTGTAGAACATAAGAAAGTCTGCAAATGAGCATCAACGTTGCTTTCTCGGTCAGTTCGGTTCGGTTCAGTTTTTTTTTTTTTTTTACAGCGCCTCTTCTCCGCGATCCCATGAGCCCACAGAATCAACGTCCTTAAAGGGGCAGCACCCTACATCCCGGTCCCAATGACCCAAACAGGTCATTCAAACAAAGTAAGGGTGATGTGACAATTAAACTAAATCAACTAAGAAGACTGGCTTCTAGGAGGCAGATCTTGTCTGCAGGACGGATGAAGACACCTGCCTGTGTCTTCACTTCCACAGTACGCACAAGTCCGTCTGCACCTGGATAGACTTGAGTAAGCAGACCTAGAGGCCAGTGATTGCGTGGTGTGTTCTCATGCAGAATAAGCACAAGATCTCCTACTTGAAGATTTTTCTTTGGTTGCAGCCATTTTTGGCGTTGTTGCAGTGCAGGCAAGTATTCCTTGAGCCATCTGCACCAGAAGACATCTGCCAGATATTGCACCTGGCGCCATCTGCGTCGGTAAAGGTCTTGTTTTACGAAGGCTCCCGGAGGTAGAGTAGGACCTGAACGAAGCAACAACAGATGATTTGGTGTGAGTGGTAGAGGATCTGACGGGTCGTCTGATAGTTTAGTGATTGGTCTACCATTGACAATAGACTCAACACAGCAAAACAGTGTTGCCAAACCTTCATCATCTGGTGCCTGCTGTGAGAGGACAGTGTTAAGAATGGAACGAACAGTGCGAATTTGCCTCTCCCAAACACCACCCATGTGGGAGGCGGCAGGTGGATTGAAGATCCACTTTACATTGTGCTGTAGAAGGTAATCTGAAATCCTTTGTTGATTCCACTCACTGATGGCTTTCCGCAACTCTCGTAATCCACCGACAAAATTAGTCCCGTTATCCGAACGTATTTCCATGGGTGGGCCTCTCCTGGAGATAAATCGCTGTAAGGCATTGATAAACGAGTCGGTATCGAGGGAGTGTGCAACTTCCAAGTGGATTGCTCTCGTAGTGAGACATGTAAACAAACATCCGTACCTCTTGAGCTCACTGCGTGCCTTCTTAACCAAGAATGGCCCGAAGTAGTCTGTGCCCACACGAGTGAATGGAGGCTCACCTGGAGTCACTCTAGAATCAGGTAAGTCCACCATTTGCTGGGTTTGTGGCTTAGCTCTTAACTTGCGACACTGTAGACATGACTTGAGAGTTCGGTTAATGACGGTCCGTCCCTTTAGAATCCAGAAACGTTGACGAATTTCTGCAAGTACTCGCTCTGGACCTGCATGACCCAGGCGAAGATGGTAGTGACTGATAATCAGATGAGTGACATGATGATTGTTAGGTAGGATCACTTGATGTTTTGCCTCAAAGGGAATTGGGGCATTTGTTAGTCTGCCTCCCACACGAAGGAGTTGATC